CCGGTCAGCTCAGTCGAGCGCAGACGACAAAGTACAGTCTCATGGACCTCGCAGCCCATTTCAAACTTCTTTCAGAGTCCTTTGAGCGAGCTGCTGCTCTCATGGAGGATTACCGGGTATGGCCATTAAGTGCCCAAAATCCTAGTGTTCTCCTATATTTAATGATTATCGTACACCCGCATTCCGTACGATCAAGGTTAGCTGCTACTTATACTATCATTACTGTTCACTATAGGCGATTTTTAGCGTTTGGAACCTGCCGACTTTGTTCCTGGTTGTCCGCCCAAAACTTCAATTAGTGACTTATTCTCTATCTGTGCCTTGTGTTTTAACCTACCTAATGAGGTGAAGCAGTCTTGAGTCTTGTTTCTAAGGGAGCAACTCTTCGGAAATGTCGTGAATGACTGAGCGAAGTGAGATTCCACAGCTGAACAGTGAGTGACAATGGGACTTCCTTCAAGGTTCTCACGCTGCAGGTACGAGAGAAAGAGAACTCCTATCACCCATCTTCCCTAGGGGTGAAGTAGCGAATAGTGTCCGCGGGAAGAACAACTAGCATGTCATTGTTATGGGTTAGTCGCCCTCCCCCGTCTCCGGTCTTCTTGAATCTGTCTTGACGCCAGGCTCATGTGGGGGAGGAGGAGAGAGTGTGGTAGATGCATCGCAAGTCTACTGGCACTATAAACCCCCGCGCAAGTCACCGTCCCTGCTCCCACCCTGCCGTGGGACACACGTCGAAACCGACCGTCGAACTGTCGTTATAAGTTAGTGGTTTGGAGGTAAGGGCACCCGACGAGGTAAGCCCATAGGCCTTTGTGCTGTCCACACGCACTGCCACGACTCGGAAGTTGCCGCCATTGTTTGATTAGGGTCGTGTCGATAATTTCAGGTCAGAAGAGAACACCAACTGAGATTACCGGTTGTCACCTTGGAGGAGTGAACAGCCCTAGATATCTAGGGGTGAAGTTGCTGCCAAATGGACCGAATAAGGGCAACATCGTCGGTCAAATCAATGCACCTTCCAGCACTTCCACTAGCCACTTCCGATATCACCATAACCAAAAGGGTCTGCGTGCCCTTTGCATCTTTCCGACCAATCGTCCTGCATGGCCTTAGGTGCTGGGCTGTGTGCGTGGGCGACGACCCGAAAATGGAAGTGTTTTGGCCACTGTTATCCACGAATTATCCTTCGAGTGAAGCACACTCATTCATCCTGAATGAGTCGGTCTACAATCTCAGTGACGTAATCGAGAGCAAATCTTAGGCAAACCAAGCATGGCTAGTGAGGTGGTCCAGCACATTCTTCGTCACCCGCCTGCGTTTTCCCCCATTTCTGCTTGTCTCTGATTGTCCCGCCGAAACATTTTTCGACTTTGCTCATTTTATACGCAAAAGTTTTAAATAGACCAGGCAAATACTTCAACTGGATCCTGAGAGATTTTAGTTGTTGTTGTAATCGAGAGCGCGGTTGAGGAATTTCGTTACCCGGCTCTATTTTACGCGATGATTTGTTGTTTCTGTAGCCGAGGAGTATTTCTATACAAGCAGATTTCCCGGGAACGTCCGTCGCAAGAAATTGATCATAGCCTCGTTGACACTTACGTACTGCGAACCAACCACAGCTTAAAAACTCACTAGTAAACCATTTACTTTCCGAAGTGTCTACGGCTTCTCTAACGTTTTCTGAACTACTACTTGTGGTTATTTGTATAAAAATATACAAAATCTGCATACTTGCAGTTCCCTTCCAAACTTTGTCGCTCACTCACATGTGTGGCGATATTACTAGCGACTTAGCGGAGAAAAAAGGAGATTTTATCGAATCTCATGTCCGTTTGGATTTTAAATTCTGCCTTCAATTTCACTTCGAATATGAGGTTGGAACAAGGGAAAGTGACATTGGTCGTAGGAGTCGATGGGAGGGAGCGAGCTGCCAGAGGGAGGCTGCTGCCATGAGCTCTTGCCGGTTGGAGGGTCACGTTGTGTTTGGGTCATGGAATCTTTGAGGGTTTTAGAACTGCCCTCCGAGGCTATTAGACGCGATTTTTTTGATGAACTTCGACAGTCTTCGCTATCGTAAATGTTTGCTTACTTATTAGCCTCTATCAACTCTCTGGTGCCCGGTACGCAACACGGAGTGTGCATTTTTAAGTGGCGGGGCGGCACTTGGGATAGACCTGCTTTCATCCTAAACAGTCCAACCTAGACAGGGTTCGCTTATCCCTTTGGCCAGCCGCCTTGTCCCTTGACCCCCGTAACTTACTCCACATAGACAAGAAGTTAAAGTGTATGTGCACATTGATAAGGTCTGAAGAGGCTGTCTACTTTTGGATGAAGAAACGAGCCATGAACAAAGATTATTCTAAGTTTAACTGTAGGCTATGCACACGGTGCAGTCTGCTTCGGACGACGATTCGTTTGTCAAGTCTTCTTGGGATAGAGGTTTCAGGATGAGTTTTTTGTCTCTCGTGATGTATGCCTACGACTTTGTTTGTCGATTTTCCATGTTTTTGAGCTAATTTATCATGATGACCATTCGCCATTGAGCTCTTTCTTACGGAACAAAGGTCATTTAACATACTTGCAAATGCATCCGCAGGGCTATGTTGACCTAATAACTTGTCGGAATCCGTTTCGAACTCGAGGGACACGTCTGCGGAAGTTCTTGGGTTTCTGTTTGTGAGGTAAACTAGATAGCCCTGTTTGCGTTGTTTATTCTTGATAGCATACTAAGTGTGCAAAGAAGTACTTCTTCTAGAACCTCTGTCAGTGTTTCGGTCATAACTTTAACCCTTCGAATTTCTTCGAAGAAAGTCTGTGCATGTGGATTAGCGTGGATTAGCCGGGTCTGCCGATGCGCCGCCCAGGAACGGCCATGCAGACAATTGACTATTTGACGTAAGTTTTTGCAAATAGATCGCGGCCTGAGCATTCTTATTTAAGCCGGCCCCAGTCTACCTGAATATATGCCAACCTTCCTTGGTCAGAGGCCATGCGCAAGTGGAGGTGGTTGGTAATTCATGGAAGTAAGGCTCATGTGCCATGTCAGGGCATAATAAAGAAGGACACACATAAAGATCTGTAGTCGTCGGCCGACTACATAGTGAGCTGTGGCGGACTTAGCTTCTACGAAATCCTCTAGCCCGCCGAGAATTGGTTTGGCGCTATTCATATGGCGAATATCCATTCTGTCATTTTTATGACTGAATGGGTTTTCACTGTTGCCTTCTTTTCTCCTTATTTCTGTTCATCAGGGTCCAGTGGCCATGGAAAGTGTCGAGTCTACTTTGCTGGATGGTCTTCTAACTTGTCTTATTCCTCTTACGGCTATCGCGGGAGAGATCGAGCCACTTTCCGGTGCTCCTGATCGTCAGAGCGTTTGTGCTGGGCTCAGCAACCTGTCACACATCTTCCCAACAGTCTAACTTCTCCTCTGCGCCTCCTCCCCCTTATTACACCAATACCCTTTTCGCCTCATATGTCCCTCCTGTAATGCCTTTTTATGCATTTACACAGTTATAGCAATAAACCTTTTGTACAGCTAAACTTCTATCGTAGAGGCAGCTCCTCCATCGTGTGTCATTCAAGTAGCCTATTGCCCTTAAGTGTGTTCCTCGTTCAATACTGCCTTATTTTTGTGTTTTCGTTTCATATTCACATCCCTCCGAGGAACGGTCTTTCTTCGTATAGCTAGTAAAGGGTGCTAATGCCAACATGTCGTCTACCTCACCAGAATACTGAAAAATTTTGCCGCTAGAGACATGGAAAACTTGCTTATAGCCTCCGGCCGGAAAGACTTTTGATTTGAACCCTGATCCACTTTGTCATTGGACTTAATACCATCACTTGAGTCATTGTATTCGTGCTGTGTTGGCTCCGACTTGGAATATTTAAACTCGCGGCAACGGTATGGTGAAGGACCCTAATTAGCTGTCGGTAGGCTGAGGGTCGTGTGCTGACGTATGTGGTTGCAAAGCCTAGTTCGGTACTGATGACTGGCAGTAGTGCTTCGTGTGCATCGGGCCTCGGGCAAGTTTCTGCGGTATCCGCTTTTTCTTATGGCAGTTTTTATAACAAGGTTTTTTTCGGATACGGTATTCGAAGTTATGCAGAAACAGGCGGCGCCCTGAGTTTACTTCTGGAACAGTTGTAGTCCTAGTGGTCTATTTACGCCACAGGATTACTGAAAAAACATGCGCATCGCTTGGCTGAATTACGCGTGACGTATGCTACTGCACCCTCATATTACCTTTGGGAATAAAAAGTCCACAGAATCCTTGCTCCCCTAGCTGGATTAACTATTTGGTCCCTTCCCATCGCGCTTTTGGTAGGACTTATGACATTATGTCCCACTACCGGGAATATGGCTTTATTTCCACTATTGAAGATTCTGTAGTAGCCACTTATCTTTACCGGGAGTGTCGGAGCTGTTACTATGGTGTTTCGTATGCGCGGTGTGGTTTACTATCACCGCGTAATTTATTACTGAAATTTTATCATCGAGCCCAACCTTTGGGACAATATGCCCTTATATCAATTGTGTCCTCTATAAATTGGTTGTCTTGTAAGTCGGATATTCGGGACTGGAGCCTCCCACAATGTTCCACTTTTTATTAGTGACCGCAAAAAGAAACCTATAAGTCCTACCTTAAATCTATCTTGAATTGCCATTTAAAAGAACGTTTAGCTGGGTATGTTTGTCGAAAGTGATTGAGCCCAGTTCTGTCCACGTTTCCGGGCTGACCAAGTGGCAACCATTTAAGGGGCCTGGTAGAGCTCACTAAATGCGTATTATATTCAAAGCACAGCAAATTATCTCCACCGCCTTGTTTTTACTTGTCTTTGTAGTGCCTATGTGAACATGAGTACAGCCGGCTTGTCAGCTCGCTTTCAGGAGTTGGATCTGGAGCGGAAGCGAATTGAATCCGAAGTTGCTGAATTTGCAGAGGTCCTGAAGAGTGTTAGTCCCCCTGACCTTGAGCGTGCATTTCCTTGTTGTAATGTTGTTTATCCTACGTAATCATATTCGCACTGCGAATATAGCATAAAAATGGTAACGTGCGTCCCCCTATCTTTGTCTATGACAGAATCAAAATGTTGGCATGCATGGACCCCTGATTGATGCGGACGGATTTCCGCGCTCAGACATCGATATTGTGGCCGTACGCACAGCCCGCAATCGAATAATATGTACGTTTTGTGTATTGTTAGTGATCTTAGACATACCTTCTCCGCCAACATATTAACCGGATCAAGCTAGTCATACCCCCCCCCTCCAACTTCCCGTCAGAAGAGGAACTCTACTTAATCCTACGTTGATTTTTGATGCCTGCTTGGCGCTATCTAAGCCTGAATTAGTCCTAAAAGTTGGCATTTTCATCGAATTATTCAAGTAACACTTATTTGTCGCCTTTGTCGACCGTTGTGGGAATCCGAAATTCATAACCCTGGGAACCTTTGCCTTGGGACCG